AACCGAATTCTTTTTTTAGATTGCTAATAAAGTTATAAAAGGTTTTTTCTTACTTAGATAGTATTTTTGGGAGTTTGGCGAGGTTTGGCGAGGAGTTAGGGCCAATGCTGAATTTGTAATAGAAAATAGTTTGATGTGTCCTAGCAACTAACCTTGATATACTGTAATAATTAATTTGGACTGTTATGTTTCAATCATAATACCATGATTCTGCATATTCGTGACAGTAATCTTCAGCTGGCGTAGATCAAMAACGCTAGGTCTCCTCCCTCCCTAAGCAGACCTATATTTTTGATCCGCCCCTATTAACKTCGTCAAAAAGGTATATAAGACTGTGTTTGTGTCATTATTTGTATTATAGATTTCATTGATGTGTAGACAGGGAAACATTAACAAAACAAAGATGAATGAGTCATACATATCACTCGCCAACGTCTCTAACATCAGGACGGTTAACACCTACTGCAAGTACTGGGAACCCGAAACCGATGTTGAGAAAATTGCCAAAGATACTGCCTATGTACTAGTCAACGTACTGGGGATTTCTCTCAACATATTTGTCATTATACTCGCTACTAAATACACAGTACGCAAGAACCTGCATTATTTGATCATCAACATGGCCGTCTCAGATGCTYTATTTCTTTTCATGAAGTTARTGTACCATGTTTTTTTGTTGCTTGTCATAAAATGGCGCATAGTGTCATATCCCAGCCTTACAATGCAGCTAATAATACGCCTGGTTATAACATTTCCTTTAAACATCTCATTTAAAGTGTCTTTAATCACTTTATTAATAGTCGGAATAGAACGATTTAGAGCTACAAGAGATACTTTAGAAAGATCAAGATCCTATACACTAAAACAACGTGTTTTGATAGTGGCAATCTCCTGGATGATTCCCATCCCAATTGCCGTTTTCTATTCAATCTACATTGATAGAATTAATGTTATGAGGCTAATAATTGTTGATTCCTTYACCATTTGTCTATGCTGCATAATGATTATCGTTCTTGGTGTTCTAACGACAAGACGACTATCTAAACCTCGAGCCATCCAAGCCACTTTAAGCGAAGAACAGCAGGACATACGAAAACGAAGAGCTAAAGCAGTTGTACGGATGGTGCTCGCATCTGCATTGTTATATCCTATTTGCTGGATTTCGTCAAACACTTATATAATCATTCAAAACATGTATCCTAGGGAATGCATTAACTGGCGCTTGTTTGATCTCATGCATAACTTCCTTCAAACCGTCAACTCCTGTCTCAGCCCTTGCATATATATCGTATTCCTGCCTGACTTTAGACAAGCGGCAAAAAGAGTACTGTGTCGAAGAAATAATCAGATCCAGCCCGCAAACAATAGAAATTCCATAGAACTACAACCCATGCCAAACCCAATAGAACATAACAGGAGAAGACGACATTCCTCTCACGAACATCAAGGGGAAACCTAGAACGGCGTTGACAAAGAAACATTAATTGAATAGTTTGAATTATAAGTTGTATCATGAACAGTACAGGCGAGTAGCGTGGACTATTTGGCTCGTACGCACACATCAGGGACCACGAGACATATTTTGGATTTGACGGTGTAACGACCGCCATTGGCGGGAGTATTAAGGGAGTCTGGACTTCACCCAGGAAATTTTGAAATGATAACTGTTGGAAATGCGATTATATTTCCAGCGTTTTGAAAGACATCGAGGGTATATAAAAGGTATCAATTTTATGTGAATTTTTCAGTAATTTTTTGTGAAAATGTTAATATTTCCTTGCCACTAGTACGCACGTGTGTATATGCGTAAAGGACGATACGCGCCTGCAGTATATACAATATTCGAATTCGTTCACGTAATACTACGTAAAAAGAGTGAGTTGAGCGCTCACGCTCAGGATAGGCCAAGTGCAGTAATAATAATCCCGATGTATATAATTCGCAATTGATAGTTAACTAGGAATATAGTAATAGTAAGAACTTCATCAATGATGATTTTAAAAATGACTTCCAAGAATAAATAATTCAATATTCAATAAATATAATTCAGTGAAAAAAAATACTTGAAAATGAAGTCAAGATGACAAATAATGATTATTAAACGTCGTAAAATTACAGCGCTGTAATGTGTCTTTATTCTGAGTAATATTCAATAATAACAATAATTCCTTTTTTAAATATTTCTCTTTGCTTGATGCTTTTTATACTGTTTATTTTACTTTTATTTGTTTTAGTCCTATCGTTATCTCTTGAAACTTGTTTCCATAACTAACTAGGTTAACTCTTAGAAAACCTTTGGAGTTTAAACCCAGGATTAACGCTAATCGGCCTTTGAACAACCCAGTGCTGATCGATAAATAAAAACATTCAGTTTCTGTCATTTATTAGATTTCCGCTAAAAAAAAGTTGCTTGTACAGTTCTTTGTATTTCTTATCCTTTGAACATGAATGAAAATGATTAAACTATTAACGCACCTGTGTTTGAGATATGTTGTTATATTCCAAAACATTACTTAACCAACCCATGTGGGAAATTAGGATTGTCRTCTTGTCAGATCTCAAACTATTTAATTAYGAATAATAGACCTAATCGGCTAACGCGTTGCTATAAACGTTTCCACCCAACTCAAACCACCCGACATTAAGGCCCTGTTTATATGAGATAGTGTACGCCTAATGGTAGGGCCAAAATCCTTTGTTTTAAGGGAAAATATAATAAAAGAGTTATCCCTACCACATAGGGACACCCTATCTCATGTAAAAAGGGTCTAAATTTCAGTGTTCGTTGCATTTTTCATTTCACAGTTGGATTCTTAGAAACAAAAGTTCTTTTCCCCACAGGATTTGAATTGGGTTGTAACGTACATAGCAAAGCGACTAGGTCTATTCACTGGAAAAGAGACAACAGAGCCTATACTACAGACGGTTATCATTGTCAACGGAGTTCACTTCTATTCAAAGTCTGCAAGGGTATAAACCTGTCAAAACTCGAAGAAGTATTGTGAAAAAAGTACCGCACTTGATAATTACATTTTATCATTTGCGCAGAATTCATCAGTTCTACGGGTAATGAATATTTAAGCCGGCGCTCAGATAATTCCGTTAAAGTTAATGTCGATCACTGAAAGCTATTACTCATGGATATTACAAAATAACCTTGACAGCTGCCATTGAAGTTCCGAGTCTTTCGTGAGTCGAGCCAACTACTTAGCAGATAAAACTTAATATTATATAATATTGTCTTTTATGATTTTATTGTAACGCACTAAGAACTCATTTCATAAAAAAAATAAGTGAATATTTTACAGACAATATACAATATTCTCTAGAGTGTAGTAAAAAGTGCAGTTAACTCTCTTTGAACGACCACTCTAGTAAGCGACCTTCTCCCGTAAGCAACCACCTTTAAAATTCCCCGTTTTGTTCAGTTTCCCRTATAAACTCTGGTAAAAAAACGTTTTCGTAAGCGACCATCTCTCGTATAAGCGACCACTTTTTCCTGATCCCGAGGTGGTCGCTTACGAGAGAGTTGACTGTATTTATCACAGGATGTACGTAACTCCCCTCTCAAGTCGCAAAATCAATAGACCGTTTTGCATGCGAGGATCTCTCACGATAAAACTCCTAAACGAAGGATCTGTATTTGGTTAAGAGTCACTTATATATACTGTTAGCTATGGGTACATTGACTATAAGGCCCTGGCAGGGACATAATTATTATCCTCCCAAATACTCGGTATATGTTGCTCTTAAAAGGGATAAAAAAACGCCCTTATTCAGAAGCAGAACAAGGACAAAATATTTTCGATACACTTGAAAAAAGCATAGAAAGCAAGCCTATTACACCTGCTGTCAAAAATGGAAGCTCTGCCATTTTTACATAGGCAAGAGCCTCGCTGGGTTTTTAGTAGTTACGGCGCTAGTGTTGTGTTTTATCGAGTATAAAAGAGCCTGKTGATAGACTGAAAACTGAAGTAAACTGAGCGATAAGCGATGTCTTTCGTACATCTCTTAMGCCTGCCTCACACGACCGTATAAGCAGTGGCAAAACAAAGACATTAATTAAACATAAGCATAAGCAWAAACATATGCAGAGTAAACGCCCTTCTTTTGGCTTAAGCATAACTCAAAAGTTAAAGTAAAGAGGTGTGAGAGTAAGACCGGGCTTCCTGTGGCCGAGCTTGTCCCTTTTGACGCAAGTCATTTACATATCCTCATTAATATTATTCCACGAATAATGTCATTGTATGACACATCCCTTCGCCGTGTCCTTTCCTTTACTTTTTGCCGTYGGTGGCTCGTGATAGTTCGGACAATTTGCGTCTTCACAGATGACAACAGAACGAGATTTCCGGCCGAACTTTAAGAGACTTCGTTTACTTGCTCTAGTGTGCTGACACCTAGTGATCGCTGGCTCATCGTGGCTKGGTTTCTCGTCGTTTTCTTTGCCTTCAAACAGYAGTGKYATTGKGCCGTCGGTACTAACGACATTTTCATCGTCTATGCAAATAAATYGATGCATCAGTAGCCRACTTGCGAATTTTGCCT